ACAGTTTTGAGGAGTATTGGTCAGGTCTTTTGCAGAACATCTCTCAATTTGGGTTTGCCTGATGTGTTTCTCATGATTAAACTGGAGTTATGGGTTTTGGGAAAAAATATCACATAGATGAAGTGCCCTTCTCATCACACCCTAGGAGGGGGATACATGGTATCAACGGGACATCACTGGTGATGCTAATTTTCATTACTTGTAAGGTAGTATCTGCCAGGTTTTTCCACTGTAAAGTTCCTATTTTTCCCTTCCATACTATATTCTTTTTTTGGAGACAGAGTCTCACTCTATCCCCTAGGCTGGAGTGCAGTGGCGCAATCTTGGCTCACTGCAACCTCCGTCTCCCAGGTTCAAACAATTCTCCTACCTCAGCCTCTTGAGTAACTACAGGCACCTGCCATCATGTCCAGCTAATTTTTGTATTTTTAATAGAGACAGGGTTTCGCCATGTTGGCCAGGCTGATCTCAAACTCCTGACCTCAGGTGATCCACTTGCCTCAGCCTCCCAAAGTGCTGGGATTACAGGTGTGACCCACCGCACTGGGCCTCCATACTATATTCTTTGAAAGCAAATCACTAAGACACTAAGACCAGCCCACCCTCAAGTGGAAGTGGGGACAGGGTGATGGTGGTGGTGGCATTAAACTCTACCTCCTGGAGGGGGGAACATCTACCATAAGAAAGATTGTCTCTTCTCCACTTATTTACTTATTCAATAATTTATATCAGTATGAACTCATGTATACTTATTTTATATTTTGGGCTATAATCTTATACAACATGATTCACTTTGTTGCTCAAATTGTTCCAGTTTTGCCCATTGGGAGCTTTTCCAGTTGGCTCCTGTGTCCCTTCCACATGCCACATCCTTTTGTTTTTTTGAGTACTTCCTTACTTTCCAGTACCACAAGATGCTCATCTTGTATTTTCCCTGTCCCAGACCTAGAAGCAGCCATTTCTCTGGGAGCCTGGGAGCTAGCTTTTGAGACTCAAGAGCCCAGAGCTGTGGAATGTTACTGTATTAGACACAGTGCTTCCCTGCTCAGGATGCTCAGGAGAATTTGTGAGCAATAAAGAAGAGGAAGGGTACGCATGGAGCTGCTGCCTGTTTCCTTAGCTCCCCAGGCTTGGATATACTCTCTGGTGAGCTACCCACAGTTATCTGATCTGCCTGGGTTAGACTGTAGAATGTTCCTCAGACCAACTGCCTTTGCCTGGCAATCAGATGTTGGAAGCCTCTGCTGTCTGCACAGAATAGCAAACATTCTGAGTCCCTGAGCTTATGCTGGTCAAGGTCTGCCCTCCTGGGCTGGACTTCTGTGGGCATTGCTGCCCTGCTCATTCCCAACCAAAGATCTATCCAAATACCAGTTTGTATTTTCCTAACAGTGTTGTTTCAAATTTGGCTTCTGTCCCATCTCCTCCCTCTCATGCATGCTCAGTAGGTGTCCTTGCTTCCTTTAGGAAAAAGCAGTGCACCAGGCAAGAGTTCCTGCAACCTCTCTCGCCTTCCCTGGGACAACAGCTTCTACCTTCTCCAAGGCTAACTCCTCCCACTGAGCCTGGATCCATCCTCTCCCGCTTTCTCCAGGACCATCCCTCTTGCTCATATCTTTGACCTTGCCCCCCACTGACACCCCCAGCCCCCTTCACTGGCTCTTCTTGCTCAGCCTAAAAGGATATTTAAGTCCCTTGGCCTAAAAAGACCCTTCTCAGTCTTGCCTCAACCTCCAGCCAGCACAGAATCTCTCTCCCCTTCACTTTGGGCTTCTTGAAAGGACAGACCTCATCGATCATCTCCCTTCACTACTGAGCCATGGAGACCACGGAGATAGGAGTTTCCACAGAAAAAGGGTGACTATATTGGCTTCCATGGAGGGACACTGATAGGGAAATCAAGTGGCCCCTCTCAAGGAAGGATTCCTTGATGATGAAATACTGCCAGAAAGGACTGCCCCAGAAAATTAGACTGAGAACTGGAACGATCTGAAAAAGCTCCCAAGAAGCAGGACCCGACCTGTGCCTGGAGTTGTTGGGGTTGAAGGAGAGGAGTGGAGGCCACTCCCCACATGGATGGCAGCCATAAGTTGGAGAAAGGAGGGGCATCCATTTCCAAATCTTTTCGGATCCACTGTTTTCTCTCATCTCAGGGTGACAGCCTTTATCCCACAGTGACAGTCACTTTAATCAGTATTTAACCTCATGTAGGCTCATACCTCCAGCATCGCCACTGACTACGCAAAGTGGACAGAGTGATTCACCACCCACCGGGTTTGCCTCGTTGCATCTTGCCAAGGTAATGGGGGTGTGCCCTTTCCATCAGTGGAGCAAAAGGAAACTCATGTTCAGCGTTTGGCCCCTCCACATTGGGGCTCTATCTTCTGGTACCCCTACTCCAGCTGGGTGGCTCCTGCTATTCATTCTCCTGCTGACTTCTCTCCTTGACCCTGCAAGAAACACCTTCCCTTCAAGTACCCTGGCTCAGCCCTAGTCTTTGGAATTCAGCTTGTGGTAGATAAACTTCCTCTAGGATCAAGAGCTCATCAGCCTAAGCTGTACACAGACTCACCTATGCTCATAGACCCTGGCCAGTTTTGTGGTCTATGGTCTGATGCTTATTCATTCATTCAGCACATACTTGTGGAGGATCTTCAGGCACACTTGTAGGCACTGGGGATACAATGATGAGCAAAAAGATATGGCTTCATAAGAGTTTGCAGATGCAGCTGAGTAATTTCCCAACTATATAATACAAACAAGTGCAATGAAGAAAAAGTATGTCCCACCCAGGGTATTAGGTAAAGCTTCCAAAGGAAGTGACAGTTTTAACTGAGGTCTGAAGAATGAGTAGGAATTAACAAGGCAAGACAGTTGGGGTTACTGAGCCAGGAGAGGAGAAAAATCTTCCCAAACAGAATAGCATGTGCAAAGGCCCTAGAGCAGGAAGGATGGCCTGCTAGCTGGAGTGTAGGAAGCAAGGCAGAGAGTGGGAGGAGGAAAGGCTAGAAAGGGCAGTGGAGGCTGGAGGGGCAGGGCCTTGTAGGACCATGTTCATTATCTGGGTTTTCATCCCAAGAATGGTGGGAAGAAAGCCACTTAAGGATATTACAGAGCAACATGATCAGATTTGTACTTGAGAAATTACTGACCACAGTGTGAAGCACAGATGAGAAGGGGGCTGGTGCCCCTATAAGGAGAGTTGGAGGTTAGGTGACAGCTGTGGTCCCAAGAGAGGTGAAGGCAGGGTGTGCCTGTGCTCCATCCGCTTGTCCCTTGACTTCTTTTTTCCTTTTTTTTTTTTTTTTTAGATGAAATCTCACTCTGTCAACCAGGCTGGAGTGCAGTGGCATGATCTCAGCTCGCTGCAACCTCTGCTTCCTGGGTTCACGCGATTCTTGTGCCTCAGCCTCCCGAGTAGCTGGGACTACAGGCACCCGTCACCACGCCCGGCTAATTTTTTTTTTTTTTTGTATTTTTAGTAGAGACGGGGTTTCACCGTGTTAGCCAGGATGGGCTCGATCTCCTGACCCCGTGATTTGCCCGCCTTGGCCTCCCAAAGTGCTGGGATTACAGGCGTGAGCCACCGCACCCAGCCAATTTTTGTATTTTTAATAGAGGCAGGGTTTCACCATGTTGGCCAGGCTGGTCGCGAACTCCTGACTGCAAATGATCCACCCACCTCGTCTTCCAAAGTGATAGGGTTACAAGTGTGCGCCATCGCGCCCGGCCTGCCTTTTTTACTGTCCTGAGATGCCAGGCTTATGTGGGCAGTGTTTTCTCAGCAGAAGATGATCCCGTGGAAGGCCCGGGGGGATGAAGATTAGGTTAGTCCCAGTGCCAGCCTTTGGTAGAAACTCAGGACCTGATAGGTAGAAAGGGGACAAAGAGAGCCTGCTCTTCTTCAAGTTCTACTTTTGCCATCCTAATTCCCCTTGCTTTAAGGATAAAACCAAGCTTGATGAAGTCTCCTTAAAACTGGCCCTTCAGGTGGGAGCCCTCATCTCATTTTTATCCAGGAAAGAGCCCAGAGCACCTGCCGCGGGCTGTAGGCTCTTCTTTGCCACACTGGCTTCTGGAATTTCACAGTGGCGTTTACCTTAAGGCCACTCGGCCGGGCAACTAGCAGGAAGATGAAGGTGGGGCACAGCTATGCCCATCTCAGACTCTGGAGACCCGAACGAACTCTAATCTGAATGTGTGACCTTGGGCAAATCACTTACCCTCCCCAGGCCTCGGTTTCCTTATCTGCAAAGTAAAGGTAGCCCCAAAGTCCCCACCAGGTGCGAATGGGACTTTCGTCCATCAGGCAGGATGTTGGTGGCACTGCGCCAGGCCCCCGGGTCGGCGTGGGGCGGGGGCGCGCCAACGCGGGGCCGTCACCGAGGACTGGGTGGCCCGGGAGAAAAGCGGCGACTGCGCGGCGGCGCGGGGGACGGCGCACACACTGCTGTGCCCCCCGCCTCTTGGCTCGCTGCCGCGGCCCGGGGGCCACGAGGTTACGTAAGGAGCCGGGCGGGGAGGGCGGGGCGGGCACCGCCCCAGCGCGGCCGCCCAGCCCGCGGTGGCCCAGCCCCCGCCCGCCCGCGCCTGGCGGCGGTGGCGGCGGTGGCGGCGGCGGCAGCGGCAGCAGTGGCAGCCGCGCAGCCCTGCGGAATGGAGCGGCGCCGGGGCTGAGCCGGGCGCGCACGGGCCGCCGCATGTGCCGCGCGGGGAGCGGCTCTCTAGCGGGCGGAGAGCGAGCGCTAAAGGCCCCGTCGGAGCGGCCGCCGGAGCAGCGCCGGAGATGGGGTGAGTGAGCCCGCGCCGCGCGCTGTCCGCGCGCCCCTCCGGAGGGACTGCGGGGCCGCGGCTCGCGTACGCGGGCTCGGAGCCTCCGGGCGGGCCGGCCCCCGCCTCCCCAAGCCGGAGCGAGCGCACAGTCGGCGCCCGGGAGCCTGGGGCCACCTGACCCGCGCCTTCCGCCGGGGCGCTCGGACACGCGGCAGGGGCACCCTGGCCTGGGCGCGGAGCCCATGGCCCTTCCCCTCCCATACAGCCCGGGCGCGGGGGCACCTGACGGGGACCGGTGCCCTGGCCGGCCTCCTGCCGCGGCCATTCCGCGGTCTCTTCGCCCCTGGGAGCGATCAACTCCAGGGCCTGTGTAAGTCTAAGCAGTTTGTCGTTCTCCACGTTTGGATTTATTACAAGCAAAATATAAATCGAAGTTTTCCTGGAAATAATCAAATAATAATAAACCTTCAGCGTAGGAATAGTGGACTTTGGATCTGCTTTGAGATGCTGAAGATGATGCAAGTCTATAAGGAACCTAGGTGAGGCTTCAGTCTTTGAAACAACTGAGTAGATGCTCAGGAGGGAAGTTGAAATACTCTGTCGAAGTGACTAATGCTTCTGAGTATATAAAGTAATTTAAGCTCTCTCCGAGCAGTAGGCTCTGTGAGTCTAGGAGCCACTGTGCTAATAGCACAATAACTCCTTACATCTGCTCACCCTATTTGGGCACACGTTGATGGTTTGCCATACGTATTCAGGGGACACTTATGCCCACTTTACAGATGAGGAAACTGAGGCCCAAAGTAGTTCGGTGACTTCCCCCAGGCTGTGTAGCTGATGAGCATTTGTGTAGCAGGAGGACACTTAGTCGGCAGTGGCAAGGCCACTGCCTGACATGTGAGCATGGAGGTGGGCAAGTGAACCAGAGTTCCTAAATCTCTCTATTCCCTGCTGTTGAGCCCAGCATTCTTCCAGCAGCCCTTCGCAGGACTCAAATGCTTCTGCTCTGAGGGTCTAGAGATCTTGCTTTCCTGTTTGGGATGGGTGGGGCCTGGGAAGGCAAGAGTGAAGTGTAAGGAGCAAGATTATCCTGGTGCCCTGGCTCAGCCCCCCTGGGTCTGTGGCTTTCTTGCACCATACCCCAGGTAAGTTTCTGGAGTCATTTTGCCTGGTAAGCCTTAGCCATAGGAGCTGCAGAGTGTGTGAGGGGATCAGACGCAGGCCAAGAGGAATTTTGAGGAATGGAAGTATGAGGGCTGTGGGCCAACATGAACTGGACATGACAGAGGTGGGTGACAGAGAGGAGGAAGCGAGATGGGCAGTGAGAGCTGAAGAAGTTTGCTTACATTGAGGAGATTTCACATGAACAGCAACTGTAGGTGATTTTACCCAGAGGCACCCAAGCTGGCAGGCCGTATTTCTGTAACATTTCCAGTGAGTCTTCAGTGAACTGTGAAAAGGCTGATCTTTGAGCAGTGGGAGCCTTTGAGGTTCTCAGATTTCATACTTTAAAAAAATGTACAGGGAAAAAGAAGTTGGCAAATGTAAGGTCTCAGGATGGAAGATAAAAGGGATCCGGTAATTTTAACTCTCTCTCTGGCCCTCCCTCCCCCTGACCAACACAAAACCAATCCATCATACTTGTGTGATCAAAAACAAATACTGAAACTCTGTGGTTGAGATCAAATAGTTCTGTGGAAATGAAAATGTTTACTTATAAAACCTTAAAGAAAATGTGAAAAAATAATTTTTGTGGAGAAGCAGGGAGGAGACGCTTGGGGATTTTGTTTAAACACAGAATATGTCTTTCATGTAATTTTAACATCATCCAATAAATGTATATATCACTCACTTCTTGTAGGTAAAGGCTGGTTTGTAACTCCTACCTACCTCTGCCATTTTTAATAGATCCATGTTTTCTATTATTTATGTGAAAATACAAACCATGGTCGTAAATTGAGATGCAGCTAAGGGCTGGGGAAGCAGTTCAGACAGAAGAGTGGAGGGAGCCGTTTTAACTGAAAATAGAACCAATGTCATCCTTTCTGAGAGTTGTGTAGGATGGAGGGGGAAGAACTTTTTGAAAGGGCAGCTAGTAGGAAACCTTGCTGGAATCCTACAGCTTTGTCATGGCTCTGCTGTGTAGACAGGACTAGGATTTAAGGGGAAAAAAAACAAACTGAGTTTACCTCCCCCCCCGCCACTTGAGATGCTTCTCCTCCTTCAAATGTTCACTACCATTTCCTACTTCTCTTCTGCGACGTGTTCTGTGTTAAGTGTGGTCTCCAGTGAGTTTGTGTTCCTACTCCCTAAGGCAACTATTTCATACCTGTTCCCCTTTCCAGACCTCTCCCCTTCCTATGCACACCCCTGGCTTCCCTTTCGATTGACAAGATAGGCACTTTTGACCAAGGGAATGTCTTCATTTTGCCGCCACCTAGTCTAGTATGCAGCTGCTGCTACCTTCTCCTACCTGCCTGCTGTGCTGGATGGCCAGTACCTCATCTCTTCCTACTAGAGGCCCCATCTTCTGGAGTAGCATCCATTCCATCCCTTCCTCTTCCCATCTTTTCTCTCCTTCCTAACCTCCTTTCTCTCCTTCCTAACCACTTTTCTCTCTGGGGTCTTCTCCATCAGTATAGGAGCATACATCTGTCCAACAGAACTTTCTGCACTGCTGGAAATGTTCTGTATCTGCGTGGCAGCCACCAGCACATGTGGTTATTGGACACTTGAAATGTGGTTGTTGAGACTGAGGACCTGAATTTTTAACTTAATCTAAATTTAAATGGCCACATGTAGCCAGCGACCACCATATTGGATAGCATAGCTTTAGTTTCTCTCATCTTAAAAAGGAGCTCTCCCTCCCTCCTACATCCCTCTCCTGTTTCACTTCTTTGCTCTTCTTCACCTGAAAACACCTCAAAAGATACGTCCAAACCCACTGGCTCCATTCACTTTCTCCTGCCATTTGTTCACTCTCCACACTCTACAGTCTGGCTTCTGCCTCACCTCTGCACCAAAACAGGGTCTTGGGTAGCCAGGGGGCTGCCAGATATCTGCCTCACCTCACTTCACGTCTCTCTCAGCAGCATCCCTCACAAATGACCACTCCCTCTCCTCAAAACAACACCCCTCTCAGCTCCTCTGGCCCCACTGTTTCCTGCTTTTCTTACTCCTAATCATCGGGTTGCCCAGGGACTGGTCCTGGTTCCTTTTCTCTGTCCACACTGTCTTCCTAGGTAATACTGTCCCACCCCCAACTCCTCCCCACTCTCCCATGGCTTCAAATGCCATCTATATGCCCATGATGCCCATGCTTTAATTTCTAGCTCAAATCTTTTTTGGAGCTTCTGACTCTCGTCCATACATGGAGCTCTTGATATGCCTTCCAATTCTCACCTTCCTTCCATCTTCCCCATCCCAGTCAGTGGCCCTACCACGCACTCATTTGCCAAGAGTCATCCTTGAGTCCTCTTCCCCACCTCTCACATGCAGGTTCTCAGTCTCTTGTGTGTTCTACTTCCAGGATATATCTGGAGTGCATTCACCTCGCCCCATAGCCATAGTTCCCACTCTAGCCACCATCACCTCCTTCCTAACAGGCCCCCCAGTATCCACTCTGGGTTGTCTGCAGTCCATTTTTCACACAGGAGCCTAAGTGACCAGCTTTTAACATCATAAATCAGCTCATGTAATTCCTCTTTTTAAATACCTCCTGCTGACCAGGCACTGGCTCAGCTCCCCCTGCCATGCTACTATGTCCCTCACTGTGTTCTGCTAACATAGATCTCCTTCCCTTTTCTTGCCCTACCTGAGATCCTTGCACTTGCTGTTTCCTCTGCCTGGAATTCTCTTACCTTCCTCTTTCCTTTCAGACTTTGGCCTCAGGGTCACCCGTTCAGGGTCTTTCCTGCCATCCTGTCTAGAGCACTCACCTCCAGAACTCTTTAACCCAGCCCCACTTTTTTTCTTTTTTCTTTTTCTTTTTTTTTTTTTTTTGAGACAGCGTCTCCCTGTGTCGCCCAGGCTGGAGTGCCGTGGTGTGATCTCTGCTCACTGCAACCTCAGCCTCCTGGGTTCAAGTGATTCTCATGCCTCAGCTTCCTGAGTAGCTGGGATTATAGGCATGTGCCATCACACCCAGCTAATTCTTTTGTTGTTGTTGTTGTTGTTGTTGTTTTTTTTTTTTTTGAGACAGAGTCTCGCTCTGTCGCCCAGGCTGCTGGAGCGCAGTGGCCGGATCTCAGCTCACTGCAAGCTCCGCCTCCCAGGTTCACGCCATTCTCCTGCCTCAGCCTCCTGAGTAGCTGGGACTACAGGCACCCGCCACCTCGCCTGGCTAGTTTTTTGTATTTTTTAGTAGAAACAGGGTTTCACCGTGTTAGCCAGGATGGTCTGGATCTCCTGACCTCGTGATCCGCCCATCTCGGCCTCCCAAAGTGCTGGGATTACAGGCTTGAGCCACCGTGCCCGGCTGTTGTTGTTTTTTTTTTTTTTTTTTTTTTTTGAGACGGAGTCTCGCTCTGTCGCCCAGGCTGGAGTGCAGTGGCCGCATCTCAGCTCACTGCAAGCTCCGCCTCCCGGGTCTATGCCATTCTCCTGCCTCAGCCTCCCGAGTAGCTGGGACTACAGGTGCCCGCCACCTCACCCGGCTAGTTTTTTGTATTTTTTAGTAGAGACGGGGTTTCACCGTGTTAGCCAGGCTGGTCTCGATCTCCTGACCTTGTGATCCGCCCGTCTCGGCCTCCTAAAGTGCTGGGATTACAGGCTTGAGCCACCGCGCCCGGCCTGTTGTTGTTTTTTGAGACAGAGTCTCACTCTATCGCCCAGGCTGGAGTGCAGTGGCGGGATCTCGACTCACTGCAAGCTCCACCTCCTGGATTCACACCATTGTCCTGCCTCAGACTACAGGCGCCTGCCACCACACCGGCTAATTTTTTGTATTTTTAGTAGAGACAGGGTTTCACTGTGTTATCCAGGATGGTCTCCATCTCCTGACCTTGTGATCCGCCCGCCTCAGCCTCCCAAAGTGCTGGGATTATAGGCGTGAGCCACCGTGCCTGGCCACACCCAGCTAATTCTTTTGTATTTTTAGTAGAGACGGGGTTTTACCATGTTGGCCTGGTTGGTCTTGAACTCTTGGCCTCAAGTGATCTGCCCACCTCAACCTCCCAAAGTGCTTGGCCCCAGCCCTACCTTTGTTTCCTGTAATTGCTCATCACAGCATGCCAGTAAGCATGCAGGTGTTATTTACTTATTTATAATCTGTCTTCCCCCAGTAGCATCCCAAAAGGATAGGGCCTTATCTTTTTCACGTGTGTATTCCAACACCTAGCACAGTGCCTGGCACCAAATAGGCCTCCAGTA